GTGGTATAAGAAAGAGGCTGCATCACCCATACAAAGGGTGCATCTATATTAACCCTTTGTCCCATTCCAATTAGAAATTTGTATTCTTGGATCTAATGTAATCTATAATATACATGAGCTATAAGGAACAACATTTCCAATGATTTTCATTTTCATGTGTTTTAGTTATATACCAAGTTGCAAAATGTTTGAATTATTGATTTTGTCGACACATGATACATACGGTTAAAGCACAAACAAAGCTATTCTAGATTTTTTTTTACCTTTCTGTTAGTCACATCAACAGCATTGGATTTCAATTTCAGAGGGAAAAAAAGGTCAAATGTTTAAGTTTTTTGCTGATGGTATTTATACCTTCAATACTACTAATAGTAGCCAAACTCTAATAAAACATCATATTCTTTCTGTCTTAATTTAGGCCAACAAAACTTTAGGTAACTTCCATGATATATTTTCCTTTATCAAGTGTTTTATCTTAATCCTCTTCCCCGCATCAATGCCAGATTCGGCTTCTTTGGGTGCTGCATTACGGGCAGCACACGGATGGCTGTGCAATAAAGAGCGCAAATTTGTGCCCATCTCTGCACTGTACGAAGATAGATTAGAGAAAACTTCCCTCAGAACAATGCTCTCGAAGCCTGCTGGAGACAGAGAGCTCCTATCTAAGTATTCGTTGATGGTGAAGAAGAGAATGGAAATTGAGAAGGGTTTAGTTGAGAAGTTTGGTCGAAAATGAAAAGTACTGGCAAATTCCTCCAATTTAGTTCTCTTAATAAAATGCTCAACTTTCCTCTTAAATATGGCATATAGTTGTTCGCATCAACTTAAATTCTTCGCATCTCATTGTACATACAAAAGGATTGGTGATTCTAAATGAGATAACAACTCCAGATTCATCACCAGTCTGTTCGTCATCTTTGTAACTTTCTTTGGTTTTGTGTACCAGTATTTCGTGTTGTCTAATTCTCTGCATCGGTCTGAACTGAGCTTGTAAAATGTTTTATGCACGTAGTAGACTAGACATTGATATTGATACAATATAGACCTAACAGAAGTTAGCTGAATATATTCGTCATATTCGTGTATGTGCCGTCACCTTATTTTCTCTGGGAGAAATTTAGCTCTGGGCTCCGGATCAGAGTCTCTGACGGACGCTTTAGATTGCGAAGCTTGGCGTTAATAGGAAAAACTGAAAATTGTCCCTCTTTTTACTACCCTGAACACGAGAACGAGTAGAAATATTTATCATAGCAACTCGCCTCGCTTGTACATGAATGTTCCAACGTGATGTATTCCCAGAGAATGAATTCTGTTCCGCAAATGGACAGTACTTAGAATGCTCAAGCATGCAAGCAATTCAAGCCAATATTCTTCATGCAAAGGCATATCAGATTTCAACAGGCTCAAAGCCAAAACCTAAAAGAAACAGAATATGCTACAGCAAAGACCCTGAAAAAAGACGATCATCTAGCGCAAGTTGACATCAAGCAAAATACAATACAGCAAATGCAGAAATACTAGTAGATAAGGCCTTAAAAGGCAATACTCTTCATATAAAAGCATACCAGAGTTCAACACAGACTCACATCAAGCAAAAGAGAAAACACAAACAAATAGCAACAGGACAACCTAGATAACAGCCACAACAAGATAAGAGAATCAGGCAGCAAGAAGCTCCCCTTAATACTCATCACCCTCATCGCCATCCTCACCCTCAGCAGACTCAGCACCAACCTCCTCATAATCCTTCTCAAGCGCCGCGAGATCTTCACGAGCCTCCGAGAACTCACCCTCCTCCATACCCTCACCCACATACCAGTGCACAAAAGCCCTCTTCGCATACATGAGATCAAACTTATGATCAATCCTCGAGAACACCTCAGCAACACTAGTCGAGTTTGAGATCATGCACACAGCCCTCTGCACCTTGGCCAAGTCTCCTCCAGGGACCACAGTTGGCGGCTGGTAGTTGATACCGCACTTGAATCCAGTGGGGCACCAGTCAACGAACTGGATCGTGCGCTTGGTCTTGATGGTAGCAACAGCAGCATTGACGTCCTTGGGGACGACATCACCACGATACATGAGGCAGCAAGCCATGTACTTGCCATGGCGAGGGTCGCACTTGGCCATCATGGAGGAAGGCTCAAAGGCGCTATTGGTGATCTCGGCGACTGAGAGTTGCTCATGGTAGGCTTTCTCTGCAGAGATGACAGGAGCATAGGATGAAAGCATGAAGTGGATCCTCGGGTAAGGGACCAAGTTGGTCTGGAACTCAGTAACATCAACATTGAGTGCACCATCAAACCTCAAGGAGGCAGTCAGAGATGAAATAACCTGAAGAATAACAAAACCCATTAGAAATGTGCCAGCATTATCAAAGAATAACATTGAAATGAAACTCCTCAGACCTGAGACACGAGACGGTTGAGGTTGGTGTAAGTTGGGCGCTCAATGTCAAGAGAACGCCTGCAGATATCATAGATAGCCTCATTGTCAAGGAGAACCGCAACATCAGTGTGCTCCAAAAGGGAGTGAGTTGACAGCACACTGTTGTAGGGCTCAACAACTGAGGTCGAGACCTGAGGAGATGGGTAAACAGTGAATCCGAGCTTCGACTTCTTGCCATAGTCCACAGAGAGACGCTCAAGAAGAAGTGAGCCCAACCCGGAGCCAGTGCCTCCACCAACAGCATTGAACACAAGGAAACCCTGAAGTCCAGTGCAGTTGTCAGCTAGCTTCCTGATGCGGTCGAGGCAGAGATCAACAATCTCCTTGCCAACTAAACAACATTAACAATAAAGGAATCAGAACAAAATGGTCAAAAAAAGATTGCTAACTGGAAAACGGGTGAGTGAAAAGACAATTACTGGTATAGTGTCCACGGGCAAAATTGTTGGCTGCATCTTCTTTGCCGCTAATGAGCTGCTCAGGGTGGAAGAGCTGGCGGTAGGTACCGGTCCTCACCTCATCAATCACGGTGGGCTCAAGATCGACGAAGACAGCACGGGGCACATGCTTTCCTGCACCAGTCTCACTGAAGAAGGTGTTGAAAGCATCGTCACCTCCACCGACAGTCTTGTCACTTGGCATTTGGCCATCAGGCTGAAATATTGGAAGTTTGAGGTTTTAATTATCAATTGAAATCATACAATGAAATATATAATAAAACATGGGATAATCAACATATTTCTGTCAAAATTTTGAAACCAGTTTACAACTATTTAATCTGCATTAGGTCAACTAAATCTCCTGATAAATTCACATTTGGGATTAAAATTGCAACATATGAGTTTCTATCTATTTATCTGCCTTGGATCTAAACTGAGTAAGCTCTTTTATCAATGAAAATTTGAATTAATCAATGATACATACAGAATGTTAAGAAATTGACATATCCACAGACAAAGGGAAATTCTTGACATAAAACGTGGAAATCGGTTCAACAAGCTAGATTATTTAAATAAGTAATTTTTGGCTGATCAAATACTTAAAAGATTAATTTAGTTCCATAAACATCAGTTAACTTAGGGTCTACGGACTAAAGAAATGCATAACAAAAGCATAAGATAATCAACACATTTCTGTCAAATTTTGAAACTAATTTACGGCAATCTAATCAAACCTCCGATCTATAACTATCTCCAAACAAATTCACTTTAACATTTGGGATTAAGATTGCTACATGAGTTTCCATTTATTTAACAATAAAAATTTTAATTAATCAATACTACATACGTATCATGAAGAAAAACCCTACAGCATATGTAGATCTAATAAATCAAAGCTTTCTGATCCTAAATTCACAAATCAAACCAGCAATTAGCAGATCTAGGGTTTTATCCATCAGATCTACAAATTTCTTCAACACAAAATCAAAGATCTACAAATGCGACAGATCTATCATTGTACACAACTAAGATCTACAATAAACTACGCAGTTCACCGGATCTCGTCCAAAAAAAACTAAAAATCTACAAAAACCAAAAAAAAGGAAAAAATAAAGAAAACCGTGGATCTAGAGGACAAATCGAACCTGAATCCCGTGCTCGAGGCAGTAGAGCTCCCAGCAAGCGTTTCCGACCTGGATCCCAGCCTGACCGATGTGGATCGAGATGCACTCCCTCATTTTCGATGAAAAAGAGAGTTAAAATCGAATAAAAATCAAAGAAAATCTCGAAAAAACGAGAAATCTATAGAGGCAAGCGTTTGCAAAGACGCTTTCCGATGACCTCGCCCTCTAACCTCTCTTGGGTTTTTTATAGGGAGATGGGAGCAAGCCCTATGTCCTTTTCCCGATTTTTTGAAATTTCGAAATTTTTAACTCTTTACCGGAGTTAGTTAACCGTGGTTAAATTGGACGGCTGGTAGTGGTGAAAGCTCGTTGGACAGCCTGGATATTAACTGACCACGAGTTATGGGGGTTAAATCGGTAAAATTCGCGGCTTTAATTTGCCGCTCGAGGTTGATTTTTGATTTTTGAACGGGGCTTTTAAAGTAGTAGATTACGAGGTTACCCTTGAGTTTACCGTTTAGCAAACCCATAAAACTAGGCCAGATCTGGTCTTGACCCATTTTTTGGTGTTTTCTGTTTGGGAAAGAGCTGGATTGCCCAGTTTTTTTAGTTTATTTTTTGGCCTTAAACCAGGCCAAAATTGGATCAGGTCCCTCTAGTTTAGGCTCTGTTTGGCAAAACTAGCTGAAAGTTACGAGATTATATCTGAAAGTTGTCAAGCTAGCTGAAAGCTGTGAAATTATAGCTGAAAGCTGATAGCTATGTAACTAGCTGATTGACTAGAGCTGTTTAGCAAAAGAAGCTGTACAACTAGCTTAAATTTGTTAAATAACTAAAAAGGACATGTAATATTATTGATATAAAATTAGAATTATTAGGGGCAAAAACGGAAGAAAAAATTGACAGCTCCTTCCCAAAGACAAACGCTACTTGAGATAGCTTTCCAAAAGCTACTTGCAAAAGACACAATCTCCAAAATAATCTTCTCCTATTTTTTGTCACCAAACAGCTCTACTAGCTTATTGACCAAGTCAATAAGACACAAGCTCTTAGATAAGACACTTTTTTTGGTTGCCAAACAGTGCCTTAATCAAGTCCTGGATAAGAGTGTATACCGCTTTAACCTGGTTTTAGACTTGGTTGTCAAACGAGCCCTAATATTTTGAAATTGAGCAGACATTCTATCAAAATCCTGAAGGACATGACCTTTATCAATAAAAGTCGAAACCCTAGGATTATGATCTCATTTGGGCGCATTCATTGCACGGGTCCAGTCATAGCAATATTCACGCAAATGACCAATTCTCTTGCAATAGGTGCAATGAAATGGATGCATTTGTTTTTGTTGACCGTGTGAAGGCACACGTGAAACATTTGCAAATGAAAATGATCTTTTTGAAGCATTTTGCAAAGAAAGAAGAAAGAGATGAGATGCCACCAAAGCGTAATACCGTAGACTGGGATTTCCCATAGCTAAAGCTCGATAAAGGCACTCGGTAAGGGTAGATGAAATGCTATCCCCTCCTCTAGGATCACTGAACTTGACTGTGAAAACCTTTTTAAATCAAAATAAAATTTGGCTAAATGACCAAATCTTTCACAAAAAACACACTTATACACATTGACATGCTTAGAATGAAATTTGTGTGCATGTGTATGTGTGTATGATGAAGAAACTTGATGGGATGCACAAGGAGTAATAATATTAGCATTAGTGGTTTGTTGTGCATCATAGCAAAAATTTGCAATATGGCCTTTACGGCCGCAAATGGAACACTTGAAAATTTTATCATACATGTGTGCATAGTAAGTGTTAGATTTGGAAGAATTAACACATGACTTTGCATACAAGTCCATAAGTTTCTTATTATTGTCAATACATTTTGTTAAGGTTGGATTTAAAGAAGATATGCGGTTTTTCATGTGATCCAAACTCATCATTAGGCAAAATTTCATTGACCTTATAAGTAGAACAAACATGATTAATTTTGAAAGAATTAAATTCATTCCTAATTATTTCTACTTCTATCATGGTATCATTTTTCTCATTTGATAAGCTAGCTATCTTTAAGCTAAGAGAAACGTGATCTTGTTTTAATTTATCATTATTTTTCTCATTTGATAAGCTAGCTATCTTTAAGCTAAGAGAAACGTGATCTTGTTTTAATTTATCATTATTGTTCTTAAGAGCTAGCTATCTTTAAGCTAAGAGAAACGTGATCTTGTTTTAATTTATCATTATTGTTCTTAAGAATCACATTCTCTTTAGAAATAACATCATTTTTTGATGCTAGCATATCATGATCGGATTTTAAATTTACATGCTTGCTTTTCAAATTAATAAAATTATAATACAATTTATTATAGGCATGCATTAATTTCTCACATGCACAAGCGAGTTTATTAATAGATAATTCATCATCGGAATCGAACTCGCATATCTCACTAGAGCTATCGCCTAGTGGCCGTGTGCATGATGAAGCTTCATTCTTACTTGAAGTGGAATTCTTCGGAACACGTCAAATTTTCTCCAAGTTGCCTTGATATGCCTCTATATGTTTCCACAATAAATAGGCACTATCGAAAGAAGAAAGTTTGTTAGAAGTATATGAGTTAAAAGCATTAAGCATAAATTCTAACACTAACTTGTTCATAGTAAACATCTTTTTATCATACTTGCTCCTCTTGAATTTCTCCAAAGTGAGCACAATATAAACACAATCAATAACTTCTCATAATTCAATATTTTTAGATCTAACAAATAGTTTAAATCTAAAACATCATTGAGCATAAGTAAAATTATTAAATTTTGGAGCAATATTAATGTCATAGCCTAAACTAGGTACACCATGCATATCCATGATAAGTATGCAAGCAAAAAATAATTATAAAACTAAATTAGCAATAAATCAAAGTAAAGATCTTTAACTCAATGTGATTAAGCCACAAATCAAAGAGCATCAAGTTTTGATACCAAATGAAATTACCCTAGAGGGGGGGTAAATAGGGTAATTGCTAATCTAATCCGATTTAATTCCAAATTAAAACTTATTAACAAGTATATCCTAACAATATGATATACACAGATATATAAGCTAGAATATATGATAAAACAAAGGGCGATATAAATTATGAGACAAAAGCGAAATATAATAAACAATGAACACAAGAAAATACGCCAATGCCAAACACAAACACAAAGCAAATGATCACGGAGTTCGACCGACCCACGACCTACGTCTCAACTCCGCACCCTCGAGGAGAATCTCCACTATCACAAAAATTGATAAACACGAAAAATATGCATTATCTTAGTGTGTTACAAGCATGATTTACGAGTGTTTAATGCATATTTCATGTTTAGATCGAGGATACTGCTGTGGTTTGTGTTCTTATATGTAGGTATTGGCTCAAGATTAAAAGATTTGATGATCGTTGGAAGTTATACAAGAGTTTGAAGAAACAACAAGATTTCGAATGCATGGTTCGTGAAGAAAATGGATGCACGAGTATGAAGAACTGGAATTTCGACCATGATGCAGTTCGAATCAAGAAAAACTCAAAAGATGAAAGTTGTAGATCTCTTCAACAGATTTCCAACGTAATTTGAATCACCTCATTCCGAGGTCGGACGCAAAAGTTATAGCCAAAATACCGAAAACTAAAGAAACAAGCACAAAATCAGCAAAACAGCCCCTACCACACCCTGGTGTGGTGCAGACCACACCTGTGGCACGGGAATTAGTTATTTTTTAGATTTTTAGGGACATATAAATAGATGTTTTGACTTAGGGTTTTGAATATCTTTTGTTATGTTCTCTTAGCCATCAAATAGCAATTATTTTGGAGTTCAAGTATTGAAGAAAGACACTAATTTCTTGTACAAGATTGGATTGTAAGTTTTGATTTTGAAGATCTCAATTGAAAGACGGGTTAATTCTTTCCTCTCTTTGATTTATTTCTTCTTATGATTGATTTGCATAATTATTTGATGTATTCTCTTATTCCAATCATGTGTGAGTAGTTTTCTTGTCTAGGATTGGGAAAGAACCCAACTTTTTGATGATTGATGATGAATTGATATAGGTTCTTGGTGAAAGTTTAAATCTTTAAACTTGATTTCTAGCGTTTTAATTTTGTTGATTCGCTTGATCACCGTATTAGCAATCATAGGTAATTAATTGAAGGACTGAAAGGTGAAGATTAATATCGGATCTCTAGAAATTAAGCAGGGAGCTCGAACCACGAAAGTAGGCTAGATTCCTTGGGGATTTGATTTGGGTTAGCATAAGGCTTATTGGGTTTAGCTTAATCTTAATTCCACGAAAGTAGGTTAATTGAGATTAATTAGGCACGATCTTTAGACCTTGAAAGAGGCTTTAGATTAATTTAGGCTAATTCACCCTTTCTAGATTAAACCAACACCAAAAATTGAAATAATCCATCATTGAACACCTAAGTTGTGGTGATAACCCAATCCTAGTCCTTCATTATATTGAATTCCATCCGATTAGTTGTTTATTTTATTTCTTTTATTAAATCTCTTCTAATTTATTCATTGAGTTAGCTAGTCGAATAACGTGAGATTTGGTAATTAACCCCTAGTCCTTGTGGGATCGACCTTGATAGCTAACGAATAACGTGAGATTTGGTAATTAACCCCTAGTCCTTGTGGGATCGACCTTGATAGCTACAACGAATCTGTGCGCTTGCGAATTTGCCTATCAAGTTTTTGGCGCCGTTGCCGGGGACTACAGTGTTAATATTGAGTGCTTACGTTATTAAGCTAGACTAGAATTTTTTTTTTTTCTCTTTGCTTCTCACTTTCTTTTATGCAAGGGCATCAAATAGAATTACACGACGAAAACAATCCTAAACTATCGGTGACTCTTGCAAACATAAGAAGGTCTATAAGGGAGCAAAGAAACACAAAACAAGCTATGATGGGAGATCAAAATCAGCTTCTTAAGGATTTCGCAGCCCTAAATGCTCAAGGCACACATTCAAGCATTACAAGGCCCAATGTTGAAGCTAATAACTTTGAGCTAAAACCATCACTGCTCTCAATGGTTCAGCTGAATCAGTTTGGAGGAGGTGCTACTGAAGACCCGAACCTCCACCTGTCGATTTTCTTGGAGTATTGTGACACTTTGAAACTTAATGGAGTGACCAATGATGCTATTCGACTTTGAAACTTAATGGAGTGACCAATGATGCTATTCGA